TCTAGCAATTGGGTTCTTCTACTAAATGTCTACTGGCACCATTTGTCTAACTCAAGTTTTTCCCCAATATCTTGGTTCTTCTAGCATTTAAAAACAATTTTACTCTCCACAGTTGACATGCCTAGTTTTTTCTGCATTTGAAGAGCAAAGCCAATCTTCTGTAGGACCTTTCCATAAGTCATTTTTCTCAACTTCCAGATCTTGGATGCAGTTATTCATCAAAATACCATTCATGAAATTAAGTCATTTCCTGATACTCTCCATCTCTTTCCATGGTATTCTACTGGTGCATCAGAAACAGAAATCCTATGTGCAGATTCCAAGAGGCCCTGCCAATACACAACAAACTCTATGTCAGCAGTTTTGGGTCTCGATAACCAGTATGGAAATAAATGACAACTCACACACCTTTCAAATTGATGGTTTGAATCCCAGTTCTAGTTCCCACCAATTTTCTCTTTCACTTGAATAAGTAGAAGCCTTTTTGAGGTCTCATTTTTCTTATCCCAAATATAGTAGAAAATTATATTTCTTATTATTATTCCAGATTAATTCTAGAAATTAAAAGTCAGGATTTTTGTGGGTTTTTTTAACAAAAGCACAGACTGTGAACTACAGTGAACCATGCTTATATTCCCACTATGAACCCACTTATCAGTGGTTCCCCATAGAGTGAATTGTTTAGGTCTCCACATTTAAATGGAGCAAAACAGTATTCAAACCTAAGTCTAGAAGGACTTAGCCAAACTTTTCCCTCTTCCTAGCTGCTAGTCCCAGGGCAATTACAAGAGACAGTTTACTGCTTTTTCACTTTGTTATCATCTGGCATCTAAATCACTCACCTCCTCCAATCCCCCAATCAATAGCAGAATTTATCCTTCCTATGAAAAAGAGAGAGAGATTTGAAAAGATGTTTATGGTTCCAATGGACTTGTTTTAAAGGACCAATCCGTGAATTTTATCTTATCAATGGACTCAGATATGTTCAAAATGACTTGTATACATAGAGAGACATTGTATGATTGTTTGTAATTGGATAAGATTTCAAACCACTATCCACCAATTGGGGACATAAATAAATAAATAAATAAATAATATTAATTCCATAGGCAGTATGCTATACAATTGTGGAGGATGAAAACAAAATAAATGACAAGGCACAGTATGTTAAAAGCACTCTATGTGTATTAAGTGAAGAAAGCAATAACCAGAACATCGGTCATAAACTGCTATGATTTATGTGAACATAGGATATTTGCATATATGTTTGTGCATGTACATAAAATAACTTGAATATTATGGGAGGAATCATTAAACTTTTTCCTACTAAAATTACTATGGCTTCATTTTCAACTTCTTTTATTTCATTAATAGAGTGTAAGGACATGGATGAGCCATTTCCTTAGCACAGAAAGCAGTGTGAGAGATTTGCAGCTATAGTTCTTGTGCACATGAACATACAAAGGCTCAGCTTCTCTTAGAGCCAAGTTACACATGAGTATTTACAAAAAGTCTCATCCTGCTCACAAGTTCACCTGATTCTACCTCTGAAAGCCATACAAAAACTAAGGCCATTTACATATATTGCTGCTGTCCTTAGTTATCCAGGTCTGCTGGTACCAGGGAGGAAAGCTGTAGTCAATGGAGTATGTGGGGCAGTACACAAGTCACTGTCTCTACAATCTACAAGTGTCAAAAAAAACCATGCTAATGGAGGTGGAAAGTACATACTCTTTGAATTATCCTTATTCAACAGGTGAGGAAATTGAGGCTCAGAGAGCTTAAGAGATTTGTTCTAGGTAACATGGCTCATAAGTTTTTGACCCAGTCTGTCTGTCTGACTCTTGCCAAATAAATAGGATCCTTGGGAATGAAGGTAAAGCTTTTGCTGAAGCAACTGGATTATCCTTTCTTAAAGCCTAAAGCACCATAGTTACATTTTAACCAAATCAAATATTGTTGCTCTGAATCAATTTTGGTAGGCTTGTCAGGAAATGTCTTTCTTTGCATCTCCCCACCCCCGAAGTAAAGAAAATATATGTATAAAACATGGGAACTGAATAAATCATCAACAAAAGCAGAATTCTTGGTTTATGCTCTATGTACGAATCTAGTTCTCACTTGAGGAGTGATAACCTCTCATGCTCCAGTTTGATCCAGTCTCCCTCCTAAGAACAGCATAGTACTTAACTTATAACAGGTAGAATACAATTCATGTCATGATGCCTACCTACTTTTTTGGGGGGAAGGTACAATTCAGTTTGTCTATGTATTGGGAGTTCATTTTGCTTGGAAAGGGTAAAAGACTTATCCAGCAAATAATTCATTGAAAACCCACTGAGCCACAGAAAAGAAAATTACTTGATAGTTGTTTAGATGATTTTGGAAAGGAGAAAGTTGAAGTACCAGCAGAAGCTAAGCTTGCCTTCTCCCACTTAAGCAGCAGAAGTTTGTTATATAGGAAATTAAGCTGTGATACAGACCCCATTGAAATATTTTATAGAAAATAATTTATAAATATGGAGAAGGAGTTGCCATCACTATTGTCAATTGATTACTCTGGTTTGTATAGCATCATAAACAATAGATTACTTGTAACAAGGTGAAAGAATTTATGGAAATTATGGATTGGAGAATTAGGTAATCAAGAAAGATACAAAAGGCAACTGGAGCAGAGTTTCCAAAGATCTAGCTTTTTCTGAAAGGACTCCCAATGTTTAGGCAAAGACACTGCATGAACACTAAACTCGGGACCTGAATTGCTTCTGCCTTGATAAATTCTGCATTCTTAGATATGAATAAAACCAACTGATCTTTTTGGTGCTTAAACTCAGTACCATATTTATTCCCACTGCATAACAGCCATCCTTGATAGATAACAGAGATTGAGGTGTTATTTGTGTTTTGATACTAGAAATAGCAGAAAGAATACAGAGGTCTCTTTGCAGTATGTTCTGCTTTAACAAGTATCAAATGGGTTACGTGGCAATTCAGTATGTACAAAAATATTATGTCCCATCCTAGCTTAGAGTCCTATCCTTAGAGTCATAAACATTGCCACAAGAATCTTGGAGGTTTGCACCAAGAGTATTATAGGTGTACACTATTTTATGAATGGCAGTATGGCTGTAAAAGCAGCCACCAACACTATCACATATAAAATCTTATTGCACACTGCCTCCCACCCTTGCTACACCCTCATACCTGGCAATAAATAAAGAACCATGTGTTTCCAGGGATCAAACCCACTATTCACACATGCAAAGCTTAAAATACAGTCCTTTGAATTATCTATTTAGTCCCTCGCTTCTTTTTAAAATGGCATGAGAGGTATTCTTTTGAATAAAAGTTCAACATACTTCAAAATAACTAAATTGACAAAGAGAAATTCTTATTTTAGACAGAAAATTTCAAATTTTCTTAGAAATAAAAAGGCATAGGCAAATTATTCAATGAAACTGAATTTCAGAATATATTTTATAGAGTATAAGTAAATTAAATATCTTTCTCTTTTACAACAGTGCTGTGTGTGTGACAGAGAGATTCTTATTACTCATCAGTAACTTTCAATTTGGTTTTACAGTTAATTTATCATTGGTTAAAATACTATAAATTTAAATTTTAAAGCTTTATTTATGAATGAAATAACACAACTACCACCAAAGTTCAAATGACATCCCACTACCAAAAAGACCCTTCTATCCTTCTACCTATTACTCCCACTCCTGTCTCCTTTCCCTCTGGTAAGCATCAGTTTGCACCGAGTCTAACTTTTCTTGTTTCATCTTGGCAATTTCTTTTAACCTATTTGTACTCCACCTATGAGTGAAATTACCCAGATGTAGACTTTCATTTCCTTACTTATTTTTCCCAGTATAATCACTTCAAGTCCCATTTATTTTGTCCCCCAAAATATAACATCATCTGTGTAATTTCAGAGTAACACTCCATTTAGTAAATATTTCATAGTTTCTTTATTTATTCATATTCATTTAGATTTACTACTGGTTTTCACATACTTCAGATAAATGCCAAGCATGGTATTAATGTGGAGTCTCTCTCTCTCTCTCTACATATATATATATATATATATATATATATATATTAAATGTAGGAGTATTGCTATTTATTCAGCCATTGATTAGGCTGATTGAATTGGGCATGAACTTCACCTTACTTTTTTCTTTTTTATAAATTTACTTATTGAATCACCATGAGAGCAGTTACAAGCTTTTGGGTTTAAGTCTCGGTCATACAATGATGAAATACCTGCCCCTTCACCAGTGCCCATTTTCCACCAAAATCTCCAGTATAGAAACAATGCCTGAAAAGGGAGAACAAACCCATATTTAAGGCTTTATATGATATGACACCCATATTGTGGAATGCCTCACGAATTTGCATGTCATCCTTGCGCAGGGGCCATGCTAATCTTCTCTGTATCATTCCAATTTTAGTATATGTGCTACCAAAGTGAGCACCATTTTTATATATTTTTAAGGATTCTTCATGCCATTTTCTAGAGAGGCTGTACCAATTTTATTCCCTCCAACAACATACTAGAGCTACAGTTCCTGTTCTCTCTCTCTCTCTCTCTCTCTCTCTCTCTCTCTCTCTCTCTCTCTGTGTGTGTGTGTGTGTGTGTGTTTACTATTTGAATTATACCTGACGATGCTTGGGGGTTGTTCCTGGCTCTGCACTCATGAATTATTCCTGGCATTACTCAGGGAACCATATAGGATTCTAGGGAGTGAACCTGGTGTGGATGCATACAAAGAAAGCACCTTACCTACTGTGCTCTCACAATCCCCTTCTCTACATTCTTAATACTTGTGTTCAATATTTTTGACATAGGCGATTCTTACCTGGATAATCACTTTGAAAAAGTGTAGTAGTCCAGTTTCACTCATTCGCCACTTGCCTCATTAAGGGAGGTTCATTAACAGTTTTACTGCTGCAATTGACCTTTTTGCAGAATGTCTTTTAACTCTTTGCTATAGATGGTCATGTCTTTCAGAGAAATACTTGCAGATGTGTTAACTCTGTGGTGCACAAACCAACAGGTACTTCATGTTTTCTTGTCATCTGAGAACTAGCAAGGAGAGTCCATCTCATTTTATAATTGAGGGTCCTCTAGCAAAGCAAAAGGAAATGTTCAACTCTTAGATTTATTGAATAGCAATCAGAGGTAACATGGTTGTGGTGAGGAGCCAATGAAGAGATGTTTTGTGCAAGATATCAGGAACTAGAAAATCTTGTATATCTTATGAGATAAGCAAGGGCTCTTCCTCCAAGTCTCCCTTTTCAGGCATTGTTTGTTTTTTCCCCTTCTGATTGTTGTCTGGAATTCTTGGTATTTAGTATAAACAAGTAGGCAAAGGTTTGTTTGCATGTACATAATTTATTAACTTGAGATGATTTTTAGCTTTTGCTTGTTCAAACTGGCTTTTGGGTCTAAAATTAGTTTTTTTTATTTTTTAATTTTTATTAGTGAAACACCATGAAGTACAGTTGTAGACTTACACATTTTTGTGCTTGGGTTTCAGTTATACAATGATCGAATACCCATCCCTCCACTAGTGCCCATTTCCCACCACCAAGGGTCCCAGTATCCCTCCCACCCCCCATCCTCCCCATCCCACCCTGCCTGTGTGGCAGGGCATTCTCTTTTGCTCTCCCTCTCTCCTTTTGGGTGTTGTGATTTGCAAAAGAGGCATTGAGTAGCAATTATGTTTGGTCTATAGTCTACTTTCAGCATGCTTCTCCCATCCTGGGAGGATCCTCCCAACAAATACAGGGGGGTTGGAAATTTAGAAACAATTATTTCTTGGCAGTTAAGTTTCTCCAATGGACACAAAATTTAAAAGAAAAAGACTAGGGGAACTTTACCTATCCCAGATTTAGATATTCATAGAAATTCAAAATTGATGATATGGACAGAACAAGTATTTATGACTCAAATGCATTTCTAATGCTTTTCCCTACATACATAATCACATAAATGTTTATCTACTCCAAACTTGGTAAGATACATTTCATGATAGAGGTTCCTCACACACAAACTACACTCACATTTCTATAATGTTAGTAATAGTCACCTCTCTCACTTTGTCATGTGTAGAAAGTGTCATGTATAGATACTTCAGAAATTGTAAGCTTTTTTTGCCTAAAAGTTTGTTGAGGGGGTTTGGGAATGGAAAAAGATTGTTTAGATTGGAGCTACAAGTCGATACTTGGTGAAGTCAGTTGTACCAACTAAAGGAAGCAGCTGGAGTTCTAGCAGAATGTTATCATGTAATAATGTTATCAGACATTCTGAGGTTTAAAAAATAGGAAAAATAGGAAACTTGTATTTTCAATATGTAATATTTGCTTTAAAATATTAACATTTAAAACCTCAATAAAACTCCTACAAACATCAATGGTGAATTTTAAGCATTGATAGAATGAATAATAAATTTGATAAGTCTGGTTCTTTATCTATTCAGAATGGATTTGGTTTTGTCCTGATGAGTGAAAATACTACTCCCAAATTGTAGTTTTGCATGTTAGTTTGAGGCATAATAGTGCAACTGAGAACTTACTCGATAGTAGTAATAGCTTCTATGCTTTATTAAAGTCAGCCTGTTTAGTTATGAGACCTTGAGACATATAAAGAAAGTAGTTAGAAGGTGGTTACTTTCCGGCACCCTTTCAGCTTTCTTTTCAGATCATCAATCCCTTGAAGACCATGGTGATAAGGGTTTGGGGTTCAACTCTTAAAGTGTGAGTAAACTACTCAAGTCTTGTAGGTAGGTGGGGAAGGAACCTAATTCAACTTGTATTCTAAAAGGAATATTCTTAAAAAAACCTGACATTAAGGTTGTATATGATATGACACCCAGACTTGGATACTTCTGGCATAACTGCCTTTAATGAACTAAGCCTTTTTCCCTACCACATTTTTATTTTTAGGATTGCTTTTGTACCTATGTGTTTGTGTAACTTCTTCCCACTCCCACCAAAAGTACATATGTTCTTCATAGCTCTTGGGCTTTCCTAAGAAATTGAGAGTCATTATCATTATGAACGTCTTATCCAAGTTTAACCAATATTCAAATTAACTTCTTTGTGTTCTTCTTGCCTGCTCTTTGGATCCTTTCTCAGGTCATGATAGAAATGGAACCTGCTGCATATCTGATCTTGTAAAATGAGAGAACAAATAGTATGATCTTGAACACTTATCTAATAACTCAAATCTATGATTCCATATTTCAGAGAATATTGAAAGAAGGACCTCTGATGAAGAGCTGCAATTCTTTCCAGAGATGGAAAGTTAGATACTTTCTAGTACGAGGACAAAACCTGTACTTTGCGCACCATCCTTCGGTAAGATGATATATAGAATGCATAGTCTATACATGAAATCTTGTCAATTGAATTAACGGTTGGTGCAGGAGATATTTGTGTCAGTTAATTAGCCAATAGGAAAAGAAAAGTTAGCAAATATCAAGGTAAAAATTTATTCTTCCTTCAACTTGTCCTTCTGGGTCAAATGAGGAGCTCTTTGCTCTCTCTTCACTTTTCCATTTGTATATTTCTCAATTAGTTATGCACAGAACCAATTACATAATTTATAGAGTCTAGTGAAAAATGAAAGTCTGGGACCTATTATTATTTTTTATTTCAACTTTATCTTTTCTTTTTTATTTATTTTTTTATTAATGAGACACCATGAGGTACAGTTATAGACTTACAAATTTTTGTGCTTGGGTTTCAGTTATACAATGATCAAGTACCCATCCCTCCACCAGCGCCCATCCTCCACCACCACGGGTCCCAGCATCCCTCCCACCCCCCATCCCCCCAGCCCACCCTGCCTCTGTGACAGAGCGTTCCCTTTTGTTCTCTCTCTCTTCTTTTGGGTCCTGTGTTTTGCAAGAGAGGCATTGAGTGTCAATCATGTTTGGTCTATAGTCTACTTTCAGCATGCTTCTCCCACCCTGGGAGGATCCTCACAACACCCTTTATTTGGTGCTCTCTTCTCTATCTGAGCTTCCTTTTCCCCTAGCATGTGTGGCTGGCCTCCAAGTCATGGAGCAAAATTCCTGGTATTAATCTCAGCCACTCCTGGGTGTTAGTCTCTCATTTTGTTGCTTTATGTTCCCCAGATGAATGCAATCTTTCTGTGTCTATCCTGCTCTTTCTGACTCATTTAGCTTAACATGATACTTTCCATGTAGTACCACTTGTATGTAAATTTCATGACTTCATCTTTTCTAACAGCTACGAAAGTCTGGGACCTATTATTACAAAGACAAAAATACTATTAATAATTCTAAAAGGTACAACAATTGTTTCCATGAAATATTTTCTATTTAATATAATTCTCAGTAAAACAGATAACTATAGGGGCCAAAGCAATAGTAGCAATAGTAGACTTGGTAGTGTACTTGCCCTGCATGCGACTGACCTGGATTCAATCCCCAGCACCATATACAGTCCCTGAATCTGCAACAAGAGTTATCCCTGAGTACTGAGTCAGAAATAAACCCTGAGAAACCTGTGGATTTTGTCTCCAACAAACTAACAAAAAAACCCATTTTAGTTATTAATAGTATCAAATTTAAAAGCAAACATTTTGATCTCATAAGAAGCACCTAATTAAACAAACACCTTATATTTAGTATCTCATATAATCATTAACAGTTTTTGCCCATGCAGAAAACTGAACAAAATTTGCCCAACTTCTTCTGTTTCACATATTTATGTTTATTCATTAACCAGGACTCTCTAATGTTGAGGGGAATGAAAATGCACTATGGGCTGTCCTATATTTCCCTGTCCATTTTTTCATCATTTCCAGCATAACTTTTTGGCTAATGCATGAGTAGAAGAGAACACTAGGCATTGATTTTCATTCACTTTTTATAATGTCATTGACCTTTTTTCTTACTTTGATCAAGTTCTTGTTTCAAAAGCTCCCGTGCCTGTTCATTCATGTATGTGATGTGTTTTTTTTGAAAGAAAATCATGTATTTATTTATTTTTCTTCAACTGGAGTAAGATGATCTCTTGATATTCCATCCCTAAACTTTCACATATCACAGGCCTACTGAAATTCTATTATCATTAACAAAATAAATGCAATCAAAGTGGCAAGACATGGGTCAACAGACATATTATGCATATCTCCTCTGCTCATGTGAACAATCCAGTGTTACACTGAACTTGACTTACAAAATGAAACTTAGAAGATAAAATAATTTAAAAGTTTAGAATTAATTCAGAGCCTGAATCAAGTGCAGAACTCTTTTGAACATAGGATGCTGTACAATTACACAGTTTGCATTTACATAATTGTGAAGCCAGTGTATACCAGATGTATACAAGATATATACAGCCAGTGTATACAAGTCTCAAACTGGATGGTACTAGCAACAAAGGGCGTTCATTGATAAAATAACTCCTATATTACGTACCTGGGCTGGAGCGATAGCACAGTAGGTAGGGCGTTTGCCTTGCATGCCGCCAAACCTGCTGATCCAAGTTTGATTGCTCCGCCCCTCTTGGAGGGCCCGGCAAGCTACCGAGAGTATCCCGCCCACACGGCAGCACCTGGCAAGCTCTCCGTGGCATATTCGATATGTCAAACACAATAATAACAAGTCTCACAATGGAGACGTTACTGGTGCCTGCTTGGGCAAATCGATGAACAACGGGGGGACAGTGCTATAGTGCTACATACTACGTGCCTAGCTAGATCACCACTATATTTTCCAGTTTAAGCAGTTACTTTTTGAACAATTGTAACTCTGCAAGCATTCTTATAAATGCACAAAAAAGTTGTGGAAAGAGTTATATTTTATTTAGTATCTTTGTCACATAACACTCCAACTAAACTCATGATAATAAACACTGCTCAGCACTCAAGCTTAAGAAACGGTTGGATCACAATGGTCCCAAATGCCTGTGTGTATGTATGTATGCATGTTTTACCTTTTAGGGTCTTTTAGCATATTAAGCAGGGCGTTTCATTTTCTCTCTCCTTATATCTTCCCAGTTTGCACGGTTTGAAACAATTGATCTTTCCCAAGTTGCCTTGGCAGAAAGCAGCTGTAGGAATCTTTGGCACAGTTTTTCTGTAAGTATCCATGGGAATGGCTGAATAGGCTAGGATGTGAGCTATGTGGGAGAAGAGTTGCATACCCACTTATTGCATCTTGGGAACCCCAAAATGTGTATGAAAATTCACTTTAGTATTGCAAATGAGTGCTGAAAATTATTGTGAACACATTTCTAATGCCTATTAATGGGAGTGGGAAAGAGATATTATAAAGCTGGGTCAATTTAGGGAGAGGGAAGAGTAACAATTACAAGACTGTCTTCTTGGTGAAGGTGTAGAAAAATATCATGGAGAGCCTCTCAAGAGACAATTTTGTTGTAGAAAATACCAGGATAATCAAGCTACAGTATATTCTTTTCTCTGAGGATGCAGAAAAGGCCATAAATTCAAACTTAAAGCTTCCTTATGCTGAAATACTCAAAGAAAATCGAGAACATTCTCGGGAAGTATTTGGGCTTTGGACTGCTGAAATGTCATAAAGATTTCATGATTTGACTGAATCCAGACTAGAAATTTCACTGAAAAATGACAAGTATATTGCCTAGAATTTCCTACTCACATCCTCCCCAAACTGTTTTTGCTCAGCTTCAAAGTTATAATTCACCACTGGAGACAAATTCGACTTTAGAGAGATGGAGGGTGGTACTTCCCAAACTGAAGTACTACAAGCCCAAGTCACTGCTTCCATAAATTGTATTCATTACATTCTCCTTTAGAAGAAGTTCTAGGAGAGAGACCTTGCTCTCATTTCTATCTCATGCATCTTACTAAGCTAGGGTAAAACTGGGGTTTCTGATAACCTGTTTCTCAAAAATATAACTTATGGGCAATGAGTATTGTAATCACTCAACAAAGAAATCCCAAGGGCTAGGTTGCTCTTTCTTTAAATTAAAATAAAGACACAAAGCTGTGAAGATGGCTCAAGTGATAGATCAGCTGCCTACCATGTTTGAGGCCATGTGTTTGATTTCTAGCATTTCATGGCATTCATGGGACTATCAACTACTACATGGTGTGGCCCTATAAAACACACAATTGAGACCAGAGAGATAACACAGAGTATAGGGTGTTTGTCTTGCAAGTGGCCCACCCAGTTGTGATCCCATTTGGTCCCCCAAGCATACCAGGCATGATTCTTGAGTGCTGAGCCAGGAGCAACAACACCTGAGCATTTCTGGGTATGCTCCCCCCAAAAAATCCAGAGTCACTGTTCATCAGTCCTACACAAAAGTGGATTTGAACCAATGAACCAAATGAATACCAATTCCTTGCCCCTAGTTCTTTCCATCATAGAATCATTCTATACTACACTCAAAAGGGAAAGTAAACTAGTTGTTCGTGTGGTGAGTTCTGACATCATTTGTGGCAGTGGGGTGGAGGCAAAGGCAAGTAGGGTCACTGAAGCAATACTGTTATATCACTCGTGTGGTTCCCTCCTGCTGTCTCGTAAAATATCTAGTCTTGACAGTGACCTACAATGATAGACCATTTGAATAGCTTTCTCTGGGTTCTTACACCAAACAGAAATAAAAGAAACAATGGTGAAATTCTCAACAAGTTGTTCCTGCCCAAGGAAAAAAAGAAAGTGTATTTTGAGGTTCCTCACTGCAGTTTCACTCTCTCCCTAAACTTAAAAAATATATCATGGTAAAAATATATCCTGTTATTACTTTTAAATAGACAGAGTAAGAAAATAGACAGGGTAAGACAAGTAAGAAAGCCGGATTTTCAGGCAATCTCATTTCAGCATGTACAATGGAATGACAATCTGTGGAATTTAATCCCATTTTAGCTTTTTTCATATCTGAGAAGCCCTGTAGAGTTTATTTAACTCCTGTTGTCCTGTTTTTTCCAGTTGTGATATGGGAAAATAATCACTTCCATCTCATGAGATTAAAAGAATATTGAAATAAATTATACACATAAAGTATGATGGAACTGTGTTTAACATACAGGAAATGAATTAGTGTGTTACTTGTCATTAATATCATCATTATATTGAGTGGGTATCTAGGCACATATGAGTGACTCAGTCTTCTCTTACAGTGTAATTTGGGTTAAGTTTGGTAATCCATATAATTCTATGGAAAGCTAATAGGCTTTTTTGAGGGGTAAAAGCTGTGGAGAAGAAAACAACTAATAATGTGACTTTTTTCTTAGGTAATCACACCAGAACAAAAAGTTACCTTGGCTGCACCAAATCGGAAAGACATGGAAGAATGGATAAATGTCATAAAAACTGTACAACAGGGAGAAATTCATAAGGTAAGGAAAATAGAGAACTTACACAACTCTCAGGGATAAATAGTTTATATATTATATTAGTTAAACTACTTTTAAAACAAGGAGATAATAAGATAGAAGCAGAGACCATCTTGCCATGAATTAAAGGTGAATATCACTGGAAAACTTATTTTTATTTTTTATAAATAATAAAGAAATTTATTTTAAAACAAATATTAAAGCAAAATGTCGTGTCTTCATAAAGTCATAAATCCCCATTATGTAAAATATATTATAATAAAATATAAGCCAAAATTTCTTATTTAATTCATGTATACACCACTCTCCAGTTTGGAAATCAGTTTGTGTTTTTATTTCAGAGAATTACACCTGAACCATAATTGCATAGTACACCAAAAATCGTCCTAATGCAACTCTGTAAATTTCATTAGATCCCCACAGGCAGTAACAGTGTAATTTGGCTTTATTAGAGTTGTGGAAGTACATTTTCCTTTGCATTATTTACATTAATACTTTTAAAATTTCACATACATGGCATTTTAAATGGCTTTTATCATTACTTCATTAAATACTTATCGGACTTTTTGATTTTTGCTTTTATTTATTATTTCAGAGCACTAAGAAGCTGTTCATGATTGGATTTCAATTACACAGTATTCCGAAACCCATCCCTCCACCAGTGTACATTTCCCAGCACCAGTGTCCACAAGTTCCTTTCCATAATCCCCACTCCCAACCCCCTGCCTGTCTCTTTGGCCTATGCTTTCCTTCTCTCTCTCTTTCTATCTCTCATTTTCTCTCCCTTTCACTCCTTTTGGGCATTGTGGTTTGTAATATTGATACTGAAAGGTTATCAAGAATATGCCTTACCTATTTTAACCCACATATCTTGTCCAGCATGATCATTCCCAGGTATTATTGTCATATCAGTCTCTTCTCTATCTTAACTACCCTCAGCCCCTCACACACTTTTGGTTAGTTCCCAAACCTTGATCAGTTCTCTTAACCTCTGTTTACCCTGATCATGGATATTATTCTTCTACTATATATATTTTGTATACCACAAATGAATGTATTTGTCCTTTTCCGTCTGACTCATTTCACCCAGGATGATACTCCCCATGTCCCATCAATTTATAGGCAAATTTCATGACTTAATTTTCCTGAAACCTGCATAGTATTTCGTTTTGTAGGTATGCCATTGTTTCTTTATCCATTCATCTGTTCTTGTGCACTCAAGTTTTTTTCTGGATTCTGGTATGGCAAATAGTGCTGCAATGAACATAAGGATGCAAATGGTGTTTTTGTTGTGTTTTTGGGCACCCAGGATATAATCCCAGGAGTGGTATTGCTAGGTCAAATGGAAGCTCAATTTCTACTTTTTTTAGAAACATACATATTGTTTTCCAAAAAGGCTGAGCCAGTTAGCATTCCAACCAACAGTGAAGGAGAGTCCCTATCTCCCCACATCCACACCAACACCGGCTGCTTTTGTTCTTTCAGGTGTGTGCCAGTCTCTGTGGTGTGAGATGATATCTCATTGTTGTTTTGATCTACATCTCTTTGATTAGTAGTGATGATGAGTACTTTTAATGTGCCTTTTGGTCATTCAAATTTCTTCTTTGAGAAAGTTTCTGTTCATTTTATTGCCCCATTTTCTGATGGGATTGGATATTTTTTCTTGTAGAGTTCAACCAGTGCCTTATATCACCTTAATATTAACCCCTTATCAGAAGGGTATTGGAAGAATAGTCTTTCCCATTCTATAAACTGTCTTTGTATTCTGGTCACTTTATTTTGAGGTGCAGAACCTTCTTAGTTTAAGATAGTCACATCTATTTATCTCTGCTTCCACTTGTTTGGTCAGTGGCATTTCATCTTTGAAGATACCTTTAGCTTCAATGTCATGGAGGGTTTTGCTGAACTTTTCTTCAATGTATCTTATGGATTCTGGTCTGATGTTGAGGTCTTTAATCCTTTTTGATCTTGGTGTTAGGTAGAGGCCTGAGCCCATTTTTGCATGCAGTTTTCCAGTTTTGCCAGCACAATTTTTTAAAGAGGCTATCCTTGCTCCACTTTATATTTGTTGCTTCCCATGAAAGATTAGATGATCATATATTTAAGGGAGTTTTTAAGGATATTCAACCCTATTCCATTGCTTTGTGGATCTGTCTTTGTTCCAATACTATGCTATTTGAATTATTACCACTTTGTAGTACAATTTGAGGCTGCGGAAGATGATATCCATATCTGCCATATCCGTATCTTGCCGTATCTGCCAAGAATTGCTTTAGCTATTTGTGGGTGGTGACTGTTCAATATGAATTTCAGGAGTGTTTGATCAATTTCTTTAAAGAATGTCATGTGTATCATTATAGGTATCACATTGAATCTGTTTAATGCTTTGGGGAGTATTGTTGTTTTGACAATATTAATTCTCCCAATACATGAGCAGGGGATGCATTTTTATTTTCCTTGTGTCATTTTTTATTTCTTTTTTTATTAGTGAGACACCATGAGATACAGTTGTAGACTTAAAAATTTTTGTGCTTGGGTTTCAATTATACAATGATCAAACACCCATCAGTAAAATCTTATCACGCCGAACGTTGTGTGTTCACGGGCTCACTGGATGGCACTGTCTCACCACCTGCGTTCGGTGCTCTTGAGCCGCTGTGTGTGGCCTGGATCGGAACGGCTGTTGGCCAAGGGCAGACGGAAGAAGAAACAAGGGCCAGGCCGGTCTATATCAATAGTAGTTTATTCCAATTCTCTTCACTCCTGTCTTTCTCTGCCTCCTTCTCTCCTGGGCCCCAATCTTGGAACCTCTCTCCTTCTGGCTCTGACTCTGGATCTCTGGAGCCCGAGCTCTCTCGCTTCTGACTCCCTTTCCGAGCTTACGTCTTAGTTTATATAGCAGTCACATAAGGCGGTGACATAAAGGTGGGTTGAATACAGATGAATCAACAAAGAGAGGTAAGACCACTCCTCCAGGAGATTAACTCAAGGATAAAATCTCATCTACAGAGATTACTTCAGATTACTAGGAGATCCACCAGGGTGGGATTCCAACAAGGGTGTGTTCTTCCCTCAGTTAGTAATCTACTTAAATAGTTGTAATAAATCTACTTCTAATATTTCTAGCAATGTCATTCTGTATGAGCACAGTAAGAGATATAAATTTAGTTTGGTTCTTCCTGAGAACATCTCACTATACATTTCGCAGTCCTCAGGCCAGATTAATCTTCCTAGCTCCAGCAGGGTCCTAGTCTCGTCGTTACTTACTTTTGGATCATGACAGCATTTGTCCATGATCATGCCCTCAACTTATAGTTGAGTATCGTGGCTCTTTGACCTGGCCCATTTCCATGCCAGGGTAGCTCACGGCTTGCCCTGGGTCCATTCAGTCCCTTGTCGGGACCCTGCTTTTGGGGTGCTAGGAACTAAGGGCAACTGAGTCAAGAAATCAGATGCCCAGGAGTAAATATTATTCGGAGTCAATCAACTCCCAAGTTACAAAGCATAATATTAACTGTCTTCCTGTGTCCACACAGAAAGGACATTGCTTACAATACAAGTTCATTGTTCTTAGATGGTTGTGACCTGACAAACCTAAGCTACCTGAGGAAGGACAAAATAGTGTTATCCTACACCCATCCCTCCACCAGTGCCCATTTCTGAACACCACAAGTCCCAGTATCCCTCCCACCCCCAATACACCCCATCCCACTGTGCCTCTGTGACAGGGCATTCGCTTTTGTTCTCTCTCTCCTCTTGGGTGTTGTGGTTTCAAAAACAGGCATTGAGTGGCAATCATGTTTGGTCTATAGTCTACTTTCAGCATGCTTCTCCAATCCTGGGAGGATCCTCCAAACACTCTTTATTTGATGCTCCCTTCTCTATCTGAGCTCCCTTTACCCCTAGCATGTGTGACTGGTCTCCAAGTCATGGAGCAAAATTCCTGGTACTAATCTCAGCCACTCCTGGGTGTTAGTCTACTATTTTGTGACTTTATGTTCCCCAGATGAATGCAATCTTTCTATGTCTATCCCTCTCTTTCTTTCTGACTCATTTAGCTTAGCATGATACTTTCCATGTAGTTCTACTTGTATGTAAATTTCATGACTTCTTTTCTAACTGCTACATAGTACTCCATTGTGTAGATGTACCCAAGTTTCTTTAACCAGTTGTCTGTTCTTGGGCACTCAGTTTTTTTCCTGATTCTGGCTATTGTAAACAGTGCTGAAATGAACAAACAAGTGCAGATGTCACTTCGAGTATACTTTTTTGCCTCTCTGGGATATATTCCTATGAGTTGTATTGCTGGGTAAAATGGGAGCTCAATTTCTAATTTTTAGATAATAGTCCATACTGTTTTCCAAAAGGGCTGAACCAGTCGGCATTCCCACCAGCAGTGAAGGAGGGTCCCTTTCTCACCACATCCGCGCCAGCATTGGTTATTTTTGTTCTTTTAGATGTGGGCTAGTCTCTGTGGTGTGAAATGATATTTCATTATTGTTTTTTCTGCCTTTCCCTGATTTTTAATGCCGTAGAGGATTTTCTCATGTGCCTTGTAGCCATTCCGATTTCTTATTTGAGAAAGTTTCTATTGATTTCGTCGCCCCAGTTTTTGATGGGGTTGGACGTTTTCTTCTTGTGGAGTTCAAACAGTAAATTGTATATCCTTGATATCAAGCCCTTGTCGGATGTGCATTCAGCGAATATCCTTTCCCATTCTGTAGACTGTCTTTGTACTTTGGTCACTGTTTCTTTTGAGGTGCAGAAGCTTCTTAATTTTGCATGTAGCCATCCGGATTTGCCAGCACAGTTTGTTAAAGAGGCTTTACTTCTCCACTTCACATTACTTGCTCCCTTATCAAAGATTACATGACCATATGTTTGGGGGGAGATGCCAGTATATTCAACCCTGTTCCATTTGTCTACAGCTCTGCTTTTTGTTCCAGTTCCATGATGTTTTAATTATTACTGCATTGCAGTAGAGTTTGAAGTTGGGGAGTTGG